GCAATGACACGAGATAAGAGATAAGATTCTATCAGCCTGGATCAGTTGTACGAAATATAAAGGTATCTTATCTGTATAAATTTTTTCTGAAAAGTTCGGAGATGACCGTTAACCTTTTTCATATATAAAAAACAAAGTATGGTTGCAATTTTTAGCTTGCTTTTTCTATAAAAAGGAATTTTTTAGCGAACCTTGATTATTCAAATACCATTTCCTCCCTTTTTGATAAAATTTTCATTGATTTCACTCTTGAAATTTGTTTTGTATCTAATATAACCAAAATTTAAAAGATTCACAATGTGTGGTATTTTTGCGGTTTTCAATTATCCAGATGATATTCATGCTTTCCGTCGACGAGCTTTATTACTTTCTAAAAGGTGAATTTTTATTCTTTTAAAAGAATTATCAACTTGAAGTCGATTTAAAATTGACATCCTTTCTTATCACAAAATTTAGATTGAGACACAGAGGTCCTGATTGGAGTGGGTGTAAAATTTCGGGAAATAACATTCTATGTCACGAACGTTTAGCTATTGTTGGTGTTGGTAAGTAAAATAATCCATTCTAATATATAAATATTATAATTTACATATTATTAATTTTTTTCTTTTGAATTTTTTTTTTTTTAAAAGATTCTGGTGCTCAACCTCTTACCAATGAAGATGAAACAATCATTCTTGCTGTAAATGGTGAAATCTATAATCACAAACCCTTAAGGAAACAACTTAGACCTGACACGCATTTCAAAACTCAATCAGATTGTGAAATCATCCTTCATTTGGTATGCTATTCTTTTGCTATGTATATAATTTACAATTCGCGTCTAACGCAGCTTTCCTTTTTTTTTTAAAAAAAAAAAAAAAAATAGTATTCCGAAATAGGAAAAGATGTTGTAAATCATCTCGATGGTATGTTTTCGTTTGTCCTCTTGGACACGAATAGAAATCGTTTCATTGCCGCACGTGACCCAATTGGTATTACTTCCCTTTACCAAGGTTGGTCATCATCGTCACCGGATACAGTCTATTTTTCCTCGGAATTAAAGGCACTTAATGAGGAATGTGATAAAATCATCTTGT